ATCACACCTGAAGCCTAACTGACTTGTAGGCAACCGGGGAGCTGCAGTTGGGATCGTCTTTATGGCTGGTCTTTGGTTTTTTGTATGGGCTGCAGGGGTCTCTGGTCTCAACTGTGCTGGGGGAAGGGGATCTGACGACAAGATCTTCACATCACTGGCCAGCCCTGCTCCAGCCAGGGCTCTGCAGCTGCCCTGCCTTCCTGCCCAGCAGCTCCTGGGCCAGACCGGAGCCGATAAGGGGACCAGTGGGTGGCCTGGGGAGGGGGAAAGGGGCTCGATGTGTGGCAGGACCACCTGGCCCAGCCTGACCATGACAGGGAGCCAGGGCCCTCCACCTCCTCACCAAGTGAAAGAGAGACAGTTCCTGGGTTTTTTTGTCTTTAACATGTGTGTTTCACAGAGGCGTGTCCAGCTTCTCAGTGGTTCAACAGACTGTCAGTTACAAAAAAGCTTTGCATCACTTCCTTGAATTTCCTCCCATTCCAAACCAGAACACCCGTCCAAGTGCACTGCCTTCACAAGCCCATATTCAGAAACCATTTGTTAACTGATTGTTATGAATAATTTATGTAGTTATTAGCTTTCACTATTATTGCTTTAGTAAATTATTTTGATATAGTACAGTTAAAAACAGGACCACACTCCTGGTACTAAAAGTGATTTCAGCATTTATTAGAATAAAAAGGCCTAAAGCAAGGGGGCCTGCTGGCCAAGAGGGGTGTTCCCATTGACAATGCCACAGTGTTGGGTGCTGGGTCTTCTTGAACAGTGATGTCCTCGATGTTCCAGGTGGAGCGGCATGAATTCAGTGGGTCAGATGCCCCTTTTTATCCTGTTTTCTGTCCTTTTGGATTGGTTTCTTTTGGATCCTTCATTTGCATGAAAGTTTAAGGTGCTTCACTGGCCCATTCCTGTGAAATCATTGTGGGTGTAGGAAAGCCTGATTGTAAAGCTCCCATTGTTGCCATTACAGCATTTATCTGACGTAAATCATGTAAAAGTCTCCATTTTCCTAATGTCTTTTTTATTACAAAAACAGAGGTATTCCAGGGACTGAATGCTTCTTCAATATAACCCACTTGCAATTGTTCTGTGATTAATTCTTGCAGGGCAGTAAGTGTTTCAGTAGTAAGGCGCCACTGATCAACCCAGACAGGTTTATCTGTTAACCATACTGGACAACTGGATGTTCACTGCCCTGCATCACAGTAGCCCCTATTAAAAATCTGTAGTAATTTTGACACCCCATTGAGACAAACAATCTCATCCCCACAAACTTTGAGGAGCATAGGGTCTGATGTTAGCTTGTTGGCCATTGGGATGTTTCACATTAATTACAATGGCTGACAAGCCACCTGTTGTAGAACCACCCAACCCCATAAGTCCAAAATTTGCATGAGTGAGAGGCCACAGTTGAGGCCAATGGAGTCATGAGAGTATTGTAACATCTGCTCCAGTGTCAATCAAACCTGTTACCGATATGGTCCGTGGATGATATCCACTGGCTGTGAGGATGCATGTCTTTTCTGGATGGTTCTCCGTTACTTTCTCAGTCCAGAAGACTTGAGGTACTTCTGTTGATCCAAATCTTCCTGTGCCACAACTTCGGTCCACTGTATTAGGAACAGAACTCACGAAGGGTACAAGCTGAGCGATGCAAGCTCCTTGCTGAATAGTAACAGGGGGCTCATCAATTGATATCATAGCATGAATGTGTCCTAAATAATCAGCATCAGTAAGTCTTAAATGCACATTAATATCTTTAAGCATAGTACTTGATCTCCCTATCAGAAATGCACTCAATCCCCATCCTATTGGGCCATAGGCATCAAGGGGCACTGTCCTAGGGTGACGTTATGGGTTTGTATCTCCAATCGTGTGTTCTGTTTACATTTGATATTATGTTCTGTGCTTTCAGAACTGACACTGAAAATGAAGGTTTGTTTTGCCTTGTTATCAGCTGGTTCACCTTCCCCCATGGTCTGCTGTCTAGAAAAGGCTAGTGCTGGCTGGCTGGCTTTGCTTTGCTTGCTTGCTTGGCTTGCTTGCTTTGCTTGCTTGCTTGCTTGGCTTGCTTGCTTTGCCTGCTTGCTTGCTTTGCTTGCTTCTGCTTTTGCCTTTGCTTCCTAGTTAGGTTAGCTAAGCAGTCCAATTCTTTCCCTGGACTGTTGTTTTTCCTTTCCTCTTCCGGAATACCATCCAACCTGTTCCAGACTGGGATCTGGGAAATGCCAAGGAACACCAGGAGCCTGCATTTGGTGATCTGCAGCAGCCATCCCCAGTGCTGGAGAGCAATCCCCAGCATCCAGACCCGGGCGACCACTCCCAGGAAAGACTTTCTGGATTTGTTCATCTCTTCAGAGTGGTGAAAGAGTTTGTTGTCATCTGGTGTTGTTAATTGTTTTAGTGCTGGGGAGTGCTTTGTTCGTTGAATAAACAGGTTCTTTTCCACTTCTCTCTCAGAGGAAAGTTTTCCCTGAACCAGGTGGGTGGGGAGGGGCCGTGGGGGTTTGTTTCCTGGGGGGCTCCTTTCAGAGGGTTTTCCCCATATTTGCCCTAAACTAGGACAGGCACTTAGCGTATTTCTTTTGTCAAAACAGTTACTGTGTTGGCAGTGGATATATCAGTCCCTGCGGATCCACTTGCTACCCCTGAGTATTGTTTGCAAATGGCTAGCTTTGCAGTACCAGGAAGGCCCATAATGGCTGTTGTGGTCATCAGGTTATTTGTGTCCCCACACATCCCTTCATGTTCTTCTTCGTGTTTCCCAGCAACAGCTGACCATTTGCATGATATTTACTCTTGCATTGTTTAGTGCCCAAATTTAGCACAATGATTGCACATAACGTTGCTGGTTGCATTTGACTTAGATGTTATTTTCTGGGTATTACACTGCCTTTACGTGCCCTTGCTATCTACAATTATAGCATTTAGCTGGAGGTCTTAGAACTACAGCAAAAGCTGCCATTTTATGTTCTACTGAACCAACTTTTGAGCAAGCAGTAACCATTTCAGGCAATGTAGGCTCCCAGGTAAGGTGTCAATAAACTTTCTACAGTCTGGGTTTGCATTTTCTTTCACCAATTGTATACACAATCTATGTCGCAAAGGTTCATCATCTGCCTGTTTTTCAAAAACTGCAGCAAGCTTTTCCACAAATTGCAAAAATGGTTCTCTCATCCCTTGTTGTATAGTGACATATCTCTGGGTTGGAGCTGCCATTACCACTGTTTTAATTAAAGCACTCATGCCTATTGCTGACCTTGTGTCAAAATTGAAGGATCCCACCTTGCCTATAAATCTGGGTTAGCAAAAGGCCCAGTGCCCAATACGGCATCAACACCCACAGTGTGACGAGTGTTGTGTTGAAGCAGCTGCATGTTTTTTAAAGCTGTGCACTCAGCCACTCACCTCCAAGTGTCTTGAAACACACTGTATTATACTGGTTGGAATAAAATCATAGCAAGATGCATGATGTCATAAGGTGCAAGCATACTGCATTAATTACATGTATTAACTGCATTACCTCTGAGGAATTAATACCAAACTGAGCCACTTTCGATTGGAGATCTTGCACAACCTTCCAGGCAAAGACATGATGACTATCATCCTGCCCTGTTCCAGGAACTGCTTTAAAAACTGGAAAAGCCATAGGATTATCACAGGCAACATTTGCATTAACATTCTGCGCCTGAGGTACTTTTGAGGCACCTAATCTTCCTATTAGGTCCCAATTCTTGTCTTCAGCTACTTTCTTCCTAACAAATTCCCAAAAGAATTTGGGAATTTCTGCTTCCCAAGGAAGCACAGTTACTTGACATGGAGGCAAAGTCCATGAAGCAGTAGGGCTAGATCTATTAGAAGGTGAACTGTCGACAGTTCCCTGCCCTAACTCAGGTATTACTGCGGGTGACTCTTCACTTGATTCGCTGTCACTGTCAGCTAATGGAGGATACGACCTTGCAAACTGTTAAAGCAGTTCAGAGGGGAGGGGGGGACAAATGGCTGGGCTAGAGTGGAGGGGAGCAGGGGGCAGACAGCTGGGTTTATCTCACTGCTAAAGACATTTCAGCTAACTGGTGCAGCACTGTAGTACAGGCACCACTGAAAGCTGCTGTGCAGGTGTGATATTAAGAGGTTTAGGAGTCTGATAATGAGATACCTTGGTAGTTTGCCCAGAAGCTTTGGCAGCTTTCCCAGAAGCTTCAGTATTCAGCCCAGAAGCTCTGGCAGCTTTTCCGGAAGCTTTGGCAGCTGGCCTAGAAGTCTGGCAACTTTCCTGGAAGCTTTGGTAGCCTGCCTGATAACTTCCATGGTACCTGCACCTTATTCAAGGATGGATTTAACATGTTCCCCATCAGAGGCCCCGTCTGACTCATCTCTCCCATCAGTCTCCATTATCAACCTCAATTCTTCGTCCATGTTGTGCTCTGCTTGTTCTCGCTCTGTTTTCCATTCCTTTAATGCCTCAAAAAGCAATCTCCAAGTAACAGCTAGATTGACAACAGTTTTATCTCCCACTCAGATGACTTCCCACAGCCTGTCCCTGACTTTTTTCCAAGTTTTAACACTAAATGCTGTGTCAGGATCAGTGGCAAAATCCTATGATCTAGCCCACAGCAATATACTACGAAGGGTATAGTCTGAAGTATTAATTCCCTTATTTCTTAACAAAGCTTTCCATGTAGCCAAAACAGTCTCTTCCTCTTTAGATTTATTTCCCATTATTACTAGTTGGTGCCTCACCTGCTTCCAGGTGTCTTGATAGGAGAAAATCAAGTCTGGACCTCCCTGTGGCTTCCACACGCCACTCTCAGCCGCACCAGCGCCGCCTCCCCCGCTGCTCCCCAGTGGGTCACAGCTGGGAGCTGGGACCCCGCGTGGCTCCAGACTGACCACGCTGTTCAGGCTGTTGCTCCACGCGGTGGGCACCAGCTGTCACTGGTATATACACTGTATTCCGAGGCGGTCGCGACACAAAGCACAGACCACAGGCGGTCTCAGATGGCAATTCTTTATTATCGAACATGGCTGACTTTTTATAAACTTTCTAATTGTTTATACTTCTTCTACCCCAACTATTGGCCACAAAAAATCAACATAACACCACTGGTGAACAGTAACAGTGACTTTAGTTAACTTTCTAAAAATACTTTGTCCGTCTGCAGTGCTCTCCTTATCTTTCTTCAGTTCTTCTCTTCTCTCAGTCTCCTTGGTAGCAGCCTTGGAGAGAGCTCTTTAACAGCTTCTCCTTGCCTCTCAGCTTCTCTTCGCTCCTTTAGCCAACAGGCCTGCTGTTAGCCCCTTCCACAGTAATTCATCCATGAGGGGCAAGAAACAAGTAGAGCAGAATAGGATTAAAAAGTCTAGTGATTAATTAGAATTGGTTAAAGTCTGACAGACCTTGAGATGACACCAAAATTAAGCATCCTAGAGTGTAGCCTACAGCACACTACTCGCATTTCTATATTCAGGAAACATGTTTTCTTCCTTTTATGCTGTCTTAATTTAAAAGCTGAAAGATTCAAGAGGAATTACTACATCCTCCAATGAGTCCATGAAGTTTCCTCTCAATGATCTCCTTAGTGTTACTGCAGTCTACTATTCAAGTATATGGGACAACTGTCACAGTAATCTCATTAAAAATGTGTACTTTGTTAAAATAACCATCACAAAAATCAGTCATAGTAAGGCAGATAAGACAGAATCAGTATTGATATTGAAAATCTATTATGGAAGCCGAGAAAGGCAGAATCCAAAAACTTCAGAAGTGTGTATATAATATACTCATTTAGTTGAAAAAAACTAATACATGTTTATTAGAACAAGTTTGGGGTTTTTTTTAAATCTCATTTTTTCTACTTTGGATAGCTTTACCTCAGCAGTCTACAAATTATTTTTGCTGTATTAAACTAGTGAAACAAGGATATTTAGTCTAGATTTTTAAGTTCCAGAAGGAAGTATTATGCAGTGTTACAAATGAAAAGCTACGTTAGGTTCCTAATTTATCAGTAAAATACCTAACTGCAGAATGATATCAGCAAGAAATTCTATTACTTTGGAAGAGCAGGGTGATATGTTAGAGAACTCTACCTTTCCCAACACTGGAGAAGAAGGAGTAGCACAGGGGTTGGAATAGCTACTGCTGTCTGCAGGCTTCACTGAGGACTGAGCTGATCTGTCATCTGAGGATTGTCTGGAGAGCAAAATGTCTTTTTCTTTGTACTTCTTTGGCTGGTGGAGTGCAGGAGAAGTAGATTTCACTGAAACCCTACAAAGGACATACTTTAAGTTTCACAAGCAGTCACTGAACAATTTACATCGACCTGCCAGCCTACTGCATGACCACATGTATTACAGCAACTACAAAATCTATTAAAGCCTAACTAAAAACTCATATTGACCATTCATTGCTTTTTAATGCTACTGTTAAACTTCTTCTGCTACTTCTCAAACATCACAATTCATGGACAATATTCCTGACTGCTCTCTCCAACAGCAGCCCCAGGTATGAAATACTTCTCTTTGGGACTACAATGCAGCATACAACAGTATAACACCTTCCAACTGTACTTCTGCTGTTTCCACCTCCTGTTACTAGCAGAAACTTAAGTGATACTTGCATACATAAACTGCAACCTACAGTGAGCAGAAGACCTCAGCATCTTACTTTTCAGAATGAGAGAAGTCAGACAATTCTGTTTCTGTTGAGCTGTTTCTGCTGTTGGTTGACATGCGTGTAGATGCCAAAGGAAGTTCTTCACAAGTCACAGGCCTTGGTCTCTGGCCAATTCCTGAAGGCTGCTGTAGACCTGCAGACTGTTCTTCAGCACTCAGAACAGCTGTAATTGCTCTTACAGTTGTTTCATCAACCTCAGACCACAGCTTAGAAGGAGCTCGCATACGACGCAGAAACAAGCTGTGCCACTTCTGCCTGAATTGCAGCAGCATACCAGCAGCCTGCAATAAATTCCAATTCTGTTAAATACTGATGAAAATTAGATCACACAGGCAAGAGAACCCTGTCTTTCCCGTATCAGGCAGCACCTGGCATTCTAATATAAACAGGGCCCACAATTAAAGGCAAGACTAAGGTCTTGGGGAACGGGAATAATCCATATTTAAATTAAGATGTTAATTTTCTTTCTTTTCCTTGAGTGCAAGGTAATTTTGGAAAGATTTCATTTAGCTCTGTAATAAACTTAGCTTTGTATTGTAATTCCACAGACTTTTTTTTTTCCTTCTTATCTTTCAAGAAAACCCAATCCTTTCATGCTTTATGCCCTTCCTCTCAAATCAGTCTCTACTCATGCACTCTTCAGACATAGTTGATGGAAAAGAGCTCTAAGTGATATTTTTCTTACATAGACACCTGGTCAAATGTGATGACTAAATTCAGAAGACTATTGTCTAATTCTGCTACCAGAAATGCTTCCATTACAATAAATTTTTAAAAATCACTCTTCTGGACATGTCTAGGAGAGAGAGTATTATTATTAGAGTTGGTAAAGTTGTGTGTTTCATGACCCATAAACTGCCTCCTACCACAGCCACAGCTCCTCAATGACATAAAGACTTCTATTTCAAAGAGGTTTTGAAATTTATCCTTCCAAAATCTGACAGCACTTTCTTTCAGCAACTTCAGCTTCAAGTGCTCCTTTTTTGATCCGATTTTGGTTATCCTCTCAAAGAAAGAAGAACACAATATGCCAATGTGACTGTTCTCTCAGCTCCTGTTCAGATTTTGGCTATCCCAGCTCGTGCTATGGCCTGATGGAGCACCATGCAGGCAGGACAGGAGGCCAGAAGGAGCAGAAGGGCCCTTATGCAGTCACTGTCACCTGCAGCTTGCTGTCCCTTGCAGCCATTATCTTTTGTCTGCCAGTCTCTTCAGAATCTGCTGACGTGTGGAAAGGGACAAAACTGCCAAGCTCAGATATAAAACATCATACTGCCCAGAAAGTTTTTGAAACAGACCCAACAGCATCTGGATTGCTGAGGCTTTCCTGGTCCCTTTTGTGAGAGATAGGACACCCACATCAATATGGAGGAAGAGGGATGAGCACTCTCTATGTTGACTTAGGTGACTAATTATTCTCTTTCTTTTTGCTGACAAGAATAGAAAGGTACGGGTGATAGGTGATGAAACACTGCAACTTGGATGCTGAATACACGGATTCAGGCGACAGACAACTCTGTGCCAAAGGGGATTGAAGCCGTTTAATTATTGATGAGCTTGTGAAGTAAAGGTTAAATCACAGAGTACCTAGTTCGAGAGACCGAAATGCACCATGACATTCTTGGAGAAAATTCTTGGCTACTCAAATGTTACAAAAACCTTTTGACATCTTTTTACAATTCCTCTACATGAAGCAAACCCAGGAGTAATTTCTTACTTACTTCAGGGTCCAGTTTGAGATGGAGCCATTCATCCAGCTTCAGCAGTGCCAGATCAGCAGATGTCTTGTCCTCCATCTCACTGTCGCTGCTATCATTAGATACCCCTCCCCCTGAATTAAAGACAAAAGGTGCATTAGCATTTCCATATTTTTTCTATTATTATTTCTACACAAAAACCCGCATACTACGGTATTACCAGAAATAATGTTTTTCCTTCTAAAATTGACTTTAAATGTAAACATTTGTAAAACTACCTCTTCTTTTCTGCAAATACACTGCAAAGTCTTTGCTCCAGATAGCAGCAATCAAGCCAGACCTGCTGAAGGTCCTACTGTGTAAAAACCTGTATTGATATGATGTGACCCAACTCATGTACCTTCACCAGTATCCGCAGGCCACTATACAACTTTTGCCTAAAGCTGTTTGCAAAATCACACATGCCTCTATTTCCTGGTAAAACAGCAGATCTAAAGACCTAATAAGAAAAAAAAAAATCTATACATATAGCTATTAATTAGGATTCTTTATTTTTCTTAAGTGCAATTCAATCAGCATGAGCACTACTCTAAGGTTCACAGTTTAAAAGCAAGACAGGAAAGCTCTAGAAATAAGTTGGACTTTTAGTTTGATTCAAACTATGACAACTAGAAGCAGTTATTTTTGCTTCCATTCCAAGTGGACTCAATTTAAATCAGAAAAAAGAAGGAAATTTCTATATATTCTCTATTACTCACAGTTAATAGTACAGTTAACTGAAATTAAAAATTATCAGTAGAACATGTCTTGAAAATGTATGTGTTAGCTAGAAGCAACATGACCTGTTTGCCATATTGATTGTTTCTAAATTATTCTGTTTGAATAATCTGGTTCAATGTATCAAATAAAGTAGTCTGTAGAAAAAGAACATGCATACTACACTTCTCAGAACCAGTACTACAGTTCTCATTAGACACTGTGGCTGTATTCTTTCCTTACAAACTATACTACAGTTTCTGAGACCCTACAACTGTGTAATTTATGGACTTGAATATGTAAGGAATCCCAAAATGGAGAGATTTATTACAGAACCAACAAACTCTTCCTGAATAGATGCAGGAATTATAACAGCGCTATTTTCAGAATCAGCCAATACATGTATTAAATATTACTGAAAAATAAGTTTTCCATGTCACACGCTGATGTATAGCAACGGAAACATTCCAAATCCAGACTCCTGTGTACCTCGAAAGGATGAAGATGCCTGCAAGGCATTACTTGGCAGTCTGGCTGGTCCACAGAAGAGGGCCACCGTGACAGGTGTCACAACAGAGCAGCACCTGATGTTTGCTGTCTTGTGAGCTCTCGTCATTTCATCATATATAAGCCAGTCTGTAGGGAGAGCCTGGATGGCTGCAGCTTGTCCATTTGCTGGGGCAATCTGTGCAAGAGCAGGTAAAACCAGGCTATGAAACCCTCTACCTGTAATTAATCTAAATTTGAACGTATTTCTCATTTTATCCGGAGACACTGTGGATGCCTCAACCTGGCATTGCTCAAGGCCAGGATGGGTGGGGCTCTGAGCAGCCTGGACTAGTGGAAGGTGTCCCTGCCCGTGGCAGGGGTTGGAATGAGATAAGCTTTAAGGTCCCTTAGAACCCAAACCATTCTATGATTCTGTATTTTGAGAACTAAATACACGTACAATTATATACATATAAAAATATACATGCACATAAAAAAGCGTGAGAGAATTCAACCAGATTCATAAATTATCCTACCATGATAAAACAAAATATTTTGCTTTAAAAAGAAATGTTAAAAAAAAGTTTCAGAGAAAAACTTGCTTTTAAGAATAGGGATCATTATATCTTTAAAACAATTTTATAGCAGGGCAGTTTTTTTGTCATTTTGCCTTGTTCCATCTAGAGAAAGGACTAATTGAAACGATGGAAAAATGAATCTACTCCAATTCTATCAGCTGGGTAGAACAGTATTTTCTAAAGCTGTAGTGTTAAATGCCTATACTGCTTTTAAAGTACTGACAAATAGGAAAAGACATTTCTAAAACACGTGACAGATTTTAGTGCCCTTTTTTTTGAACTATGAATTCAAAGTGTCTTTACCTTTTTATACTGAGACTGACCAAGAACAGAGGTAGGATGAAATCGCACTTTCTTCTCCTTTGGTTCCGCCAACACCAGGCTGTCTCTGTCTACATGCACAAGATTGGGATACATCCCGGCCACTAAGGCACCTTTAATTACAGCCCAGTTCTCAGAGTTAGTATTAACATCTCTAATATCAGCTCCTCCTCTGGCTCTCACAAAACCTGACAAATGAAAGAGACAAAACAGTGCCATGTTAGCTTGTGTTTGGTTCTCAAAAGGAGTTAGAAACTAAAGGTGAAATAAATGACTTCTTCGTTGCTTTTTTTCACCACCGCCAACCTTAACAGCACCAAGAAGAAACCATTACACTGAAATCCTTCCTGATAAGGGGTTTCATATTAACACAGAATACCACTATTTTCTACAATATAAAGACATTTCCTATGGGAATAATTCATTAAAACATGAAATGCAGTGGCATGTGGAGATGAGGGTGCTTTCAGTTAGATCAGCCACAATTCCTCATCTGCACCATACCCTGCATGAATGTGTGCATGAAGGTGTATTTCAAATTAAGGAAAATTACACCAGTGAACATGATTTTTGTTACAATTTCTATATGCTTGACTTTAAAACAATGTTAAAATTGTTTCCAACTTCTCTACCTGAGGCTCTAAGCTGGCCAAGCACCTGTGTTCTCATTCCTGCAATGGTTTCCATTGTGGCTTGGGATAGGAAGTTCTTTTCACAGAAGGCTCTCTCCCAGCCGTCACTGCGTGCCTTCTGCCATGCCTGAAAATGTTTTTACATTTGCCTATTAATTTGAAGGACTTAAACTAAAAACTGCATTTTTAAAAAAATATTACATTTATGTCAATAAAATGAATGCAAAACCCCCTCTAAAAGTTAATGTATCAAACCAGATTATTTTTTCTGTTCAACAATTAGATTTGCTTTATGTGTTCACTACAGTGATGATTATGTCAAGTTAATAAATAAAGAACTTTACATTAAGATCATGATTCAAAGTTCAGTGTAGTAGGATGCAAAGAGGCACATTGTTGGAACATTCAAAATTTTATAATGTTTGAAACAAAACATACTACAAAAACGGTTCCCTCTTCTGTCGACCAGCCAGACTGCCAAGTAATGCCTTACACAGGAAAGGCACTAGGCAAAAAGAAAGTCTTCTCTGAGCACTTAATCACAGTCCGCCACTCTACATCCAACTGGTGCATCTGCATTTTGCTTGAATGTGCTGTGATTAGTACTCTCTGAAATGAAAGACTACCTGGAAAGCCCTGAACGTTCCAGCAGCAAAACGCTTCCTGCACAGCACAGCTGCACGCTTTTGGGAGGCCAGCATGGGCAGCACAAAAGGGTCTTGGCAGGCAAGAGCACAGGCAATGGTCAGAACAGGATCCAGGCACTTCAGAACTACAGCATACAACACCATTTTACCGAGGTGTGGCTCTACAGGTAATTCAGTGAGGTGATAACCAAGCTCAGTGAGATCTTCCCAAGGGTCCATGGCATCTATGGTCTGTTCATAAACAAACAAACAAACAAATAAAGGAGAGGGGGATGGGTACAGTGGACAAAATCAATTTACAGTGAAAGCAGAAAGGATGTGAATAATGAACATTAACTAGACTTGTTTCCAAACACTACAGAAGCAAGTCAAACTATTAACTGAGACAAGACTTTGAAGCACTCTCTTCCCTTGACATGGAAAAACACATCCCTACACACAAAATGAAAACAGACAATAACCAAAACTTCAAAACATCCTTAAGTAAGTAAAAACAGCTTCAGTACAAACTGAAGTCAGTAAACTGCTACACCACAAATTTGGGATCAAACACAATTACAATCTAAACCTATTCCTTTTCTGACCTTAAGCATATGCACAGCATTTCTCACAGTTACAGCAGGCGGAGGATCAGGAGCTTTCATAAGAAAGTCTACAATTGGACAATTAATTGGAGCAAGAATTTTTTGTGTACAAACAGATCTCCTGCAAGGTAAAGGGCAGAACAAAAAAAGATTACCAAGATTTGGAAGGAGCTGCCAAACACATGATTTGTTGCAATTAATAGTATGGTATGAGGACATGTATTTTTTAAAGTTATAGTTTCTAATTGAGCATGCACCTGAAGCGGCATTCTTAGAAGTTCTGGAGATTGAAATTCCAACATATTCTGAAATCGGAGCCTGCTGAAGAGACGAAAGCAGACTCCAGGCTGACAGCGCCCAGCTCTTGAAAATAAAATATGGAAGGTTGTGAAAATGAGGATTTCTTCCTAAAAACAAAACCAAAAGCCAACAAACAGACACAGAAACTCAGAAATGGAAAAGAAGAGGCAGTACTATGAAGAAAGTGTTGTTAAGTCACACGCAAAGTGAGAGTTTTCTAATCATGAATTATTTTTGAGAGTGTGGCAATTTTTTACTGTAATTTTAAGCCAACACTGAGAAATCTGGAGGAAAGAAAAACAAGGCTTATCTAATGTAAAGTGCTGTGGGTTTTTTGCTAACCTAAGACCAGTTCAAATCTCAATCATCCTTTGTTGTAAGGAACCAGTTGCAAACTTTATTGTTTCCCCTCACATCCCCTAAACAGAAGTGATGCTTGGAGTAAAAGGTAGAATAAAGATGAAGTAACTTGTGAGTGAATGAGAGACAGCAAATTCTCTCAGTCATATACATCTATGCGCATACGTGCAGCTTAATGCCAATATGATTGATTAAACAGGCATTTGTTGCTACATAAACTTCTGAGCCCTCACCCACAGTGCTGGGAAGAATATAATCATGGCCTGTTAAGTCATGGATAGCTTGGAGAAAGTGAAATAGGCAGTCCTCTGCCCACAGACATGATGTGAAAACACCCCACTGGACATTGTGACTGCTGGTGCTACGTGGGAGAAAGAGGAAGGAGAACAAATTAATGGGGGGAAAACAACCCAGACCTTGGGAAATGCCTGAGAGTCACTTTTCTACAACTTGGGAGATTATTCCAAGGAAATACATGCTGATGCCTACTCACCTGCAGAGAACGAGAGTTGGCCACTATGCAACACAACACTGGACTAGGCCAGAAACAGCTACTATGTTGTGTGCTTTATTCTAAACATAAAGGACTGTGGATATCTGCAAAATGGAAACCGCTATGAGGCATTTATTACCTGCCTTTTCTCTGGATAGTACTGGCTTTTGAAATCCACCCCATTTTTACCATTGTAACATGACTCAGTGCATCAAAAGACTTCTAGAAAAACAAAGAAAGGAATGCAAACTGAAAACTCAATAGGGTACATGAAATACAAGTTACTAGTTATTTAGATTACCAACAGAGTTTTCTAAAAAGTATGAAATAGTAATATATACAGCAGCTTCTGACACAAAGGTACCTTCTCAATTTCGAGTGAATTAATGAGGGTATCTCCTTTCTAGTATCTTAATGCTCCACAATTTTTGAAATTCAAGATTTTCAAGGTTTTTTAGACAGATAGCTTACAGTATTTGTCTTAAAACAAATGCATGTTGAAACTTTTCAGCAAGGACTGTTGCCTGACAGGCACTAGCTCTCAGCTAGTAAAAGTTTTTTTTCACTTTACTGTAAAGTCATAAATAATAAAAAAAAAGTTCTCCAAAATTTATGCACTGTGTGTTTTAGAATCACACTAGGAAAATTTATGGCAGTCCTACCTCTTTCACCTTGCCTGAGTCAATGACAAACACCACATCACTGACTGTTATGCTGGTTTCTGCAATATTAGTAGAAAGAATCTGCAAAGAAAAAAACCAAAACCACCAAAACTATAATAACTGTAAAAGCAATGGCAAAATAGGTCATTGTGGCATTGGAAAAAGTCCTCTAATACTTGCAATTTTGCGAATGCCAAAAGGTGGACTTTCAAGCACTTTCTTCTGGTACAAAGTCTGCATACTTGAATGAAGCACGAAAACTTGGTATCTAACGCAAGACAAAAGGAACATTTTAAGGATCCTTAAAAGAAGCAATGAAAAGCCACAGTAACTAAAGGTTTTACCTGTGAGCATTATCAGTGAATCTCTTATCATCCAAAACAATGCGGTCTCTCAGGCTCACTATCTCATCATACCCAGGAAGAAATATTAAAATTGCTCCTAAAAAAGGAAGTGGGTTTGCAAAGTTAAACAGAAAATTCAAATACATGTTGAATAGCACTCAGAAGGTTTTAACGTTTGTGGATTGCTGAAAAAAGAGCATGATTCATCAGAAGCCAAATCCACAACCACTGGTTAGGTATTTACCTACCTGCATCAGAACTATGACAGATGCTGTGAAGTAAGTGCATTATCAGATTGTCATGGTTTGACGCTGGCACAATGCCAGCGCCCCATGAAAATACAACTTACCAATCAAATGCTGTGAAATGTGATCAAGAACAGAGCAAAGCAGGCCAAACTTAATAACAAAGGAAAAACTTTATTACACTACTACTACTACTACTATAAAAGGAAAAGAAAGGAAAGAAAAAAAAACCACACAAAATTCGAAATGAAAACCTTCCAAAACATTTCTCCTCCCTCCACCCAACTCCACCAAACCCCAGCGAGACCCATTTGGATCCTTAATCAAGGTTTCACCCTTCAATATAATCAATACTGAGTCCATCGGGGAAGAGAGGAGTCCCCCCTCGCACCATAGACCCCCAGGAAACACAGCTGCCACCTCTTGTGTTTCCAATGTCACACGTGGCACCGCCCAGACACACCGGCCAGTGTGACATTCTCCTCTCCATGTCACAGTGCTCTCACCACCGTGCATGGACAGAGACTGCTTATAGGGCCACTTTAAGGATGCTTTGCCAAGGACCACCAGGAACAACAGTCCAGTATCACAATTCGGGACTAGAGTCCCCCCCACTTTCCCCTGGGGCCAAGGGTCCAAAAGACAGAGATCGCCTTCTCTTCCTCTCTGAAGATGGAGGGCATCCTCACACCCTCCTCAGCTCTCTCTCTGTCCACTCCAAAACTGGTAGTTGCTGAAGAAGGTCTCTTGGCTCACCAATGCATCCCCCTAAAATGCAGTCCCTCTTGAAAGAAAGAGTGGTTCAGTCTATGGTAAACAAGCAGAGTCCAGCCAAAAGCCACTCTATCATCTGCCCCCAACCTTCTTCTCTGAACATCTGAGGTTTCAGGCTGTCTCTCTTTTCTTCAAATTCAGGAGGAGTAATATTTCATAAAGCCTTCATTTCACAGGAAAGGGTTAAAATTCCCGGACTCCCCGGACGGCTGAAATCTCAGCCCAGGACTCTTTCTCTAGTCTCCCACGCTGGGCATCTTCCCCCCCACTTCTCCTTCTCCTCCGCCGGCACACTCCCAGGTGTCTGCTGGCTCTCTATCTCTTTTCCCTCTGGCTTAGGGGAGGGGGAACAAAAACATCCCAGATGTTCTCCACCCTTCCATCCGCAGGAGCTGGCCCAGCCGGTTCCGATCCTTCACCCCCTGGCCTACCTCTGCAGGCCGCATGGCTCCCCTCCCCCACCCAGCCCGGGCTGGGCAGGGGAGGTCCGTATCTTGCGATGACCGGAACCAAAGAAGGACAAGTCCCCCTGGGAATTCCACTTTTAACCCCTCTGTGTTCTCAGAGGCGTGTCCACCTTCAATTGGTCACCCCAAGTGTCAGTATCTAAACCTGACCCCTGACTGGTGGACCTCTTCCTTCTAAAAAAAAATTCTCTTCCCGTGTCAAACCATGACACAGATCCAGATCCACTTTTTCATCATCAAAACTGTGATGATAAGCTGTCAGTAGCTCTCTGTCCTCTGCACTAAGGTCACTAGCACTTTTTTGGACCAGGGAACTTTCATCCATGTTTCCAAATCCGAATGAAGCGCTGTAACAGGAAAATACACCAGAATCAAGGCTGCCCCTTCGGGTTTGCATTGAGCCATCCACTCAAAGTTAGTTCAAGACCAATATGACTATTGGTCTTGAATTCTGATGTTTAAGTGTAGCAGAAGGGAATCACCATACTACTACTGTTTACTGATTTCAATGTTAACCCAGTGAAGGATGCCACTTTATTTATTAGTGTTAACTTTAGTTTTCTTCAACTTCATTGAAACACAACCATAAGCAAAGGAAAGTATAAAGATACTTCTCATTTATCTGTTCAAGTAAAAATATTTAAGAGATACGTGTTCTCCAAAAATTTCCCACTAGCAGAAACTACACTAAGAGAAATTATAGTAGAGATAAGCTTTACAAAACACTACCTCAAGTACGATAACTGTAAGTTAATCAGAAAATCATTCTTGAATGGCCTAGTGTACACATTACTTCTGTAAATTTTCTTTAATATGCCTATTGCATATAAAAAGGATAAATAAAAACACATGACAGATTTGTTTCCAAAGTAAGCATGTGAAAAGTATAGAATTAGCAAGTTGTGCAAACATAAACAATATGATACTGAGTACAAACTTTTTTGCTGTTTATTTTTTGAAATATTCCTATTCTTAAAAAGAAGTCTTGCCATTAAGTCCAGATTTTAGACCATGAAAAGCTAAACCTGTTCTGATTAAAAGAACACAAACCTCAAATTTCCCATCACAACTCTTTGTATATCATATACAACTCATTCTGCAAAACAGTTACAACTGACCTGTAGGATTCCAACAGATGAACAACCTCCGTCTGTCCAAAGTGCCTAGCCCAGTCCACAGCCATCCTGAAATAGTTGCACAAGTATTTTTATTAGACTTTTCACTTCAAAAGATGAATATGAAGAGCGCATCAGGAGAGGCAATTGACACCAGACTTTTGTACCCATTTCTGTACTGACATCCGTACTGTTATTGCTGGATCTGCAACTTCCCATTTGAAAGTGCATGAATAGGTGTTAACAGCTATCTGACTTTTAGGTGACTACAGTTCTTTACCACAAAAGAATGTCCGTTTTACACAGGAGCAAACATGCACAAGGAAGTGAGGAGGAAGAAAGTGCCATTCCTTTAAAAAGTCCACAACAAGGTGCAGAGATCAGACCTGCCTGTTTGCAGTATCCTTGAAGTCATCTCAAAAGGTCACACCCCAGGCATAACATTTGGCTATTTCATGTCTTTCAGAAGCTGTCCTCCTCACGATGCAGTTCACTGTTTTATCTTTAAACTGCATTCCTTCCCAAGTTTTTTCAAATGTTAGTACCAAATATCAGACCCCTGGAATCCTAATTCTTATCATTCCATACAACAATTATTTACTGTACTTCCCTGTTTATATGAAGACATAATCCATGACCACAAAACCTGAGTTTCTACAGATTCACAAATATTTTTACATGCTACAATATATTTAGAAACATAACAGAAAGATCTTCTGATATGGGTAACTCCATGAAAATAGGAATTGCCAAATATTTTGGTCCAATTCAGTAGATTACAGTTGTTCTGCTAACCAGTATCTTAAATAAGACCTACTGAAACAAAGTTTATAGCTCATAATCAAGACCATGTAATTAAGAATTCAATTTAGAATTTACAGAAAACAATGTGATTATCAGGAGTTAGAAATTGTTGAGGCTGTCAAAATCTATAGTTCTTACAGCAGTGTGATAAGTTAGCAAATTAATTTAGATGTTAAACAATTTTCTTTCTCTCTCCTATACTGACACATAAATCTATCTTTTGGTTTCTCTGTTTTTACCAGCCATTAGATGATTTGCAGTGGATACTTGCTCCCATGCTGATCAACTGTTCTACTTGACTCAAAAAGCCTCTCCCTGAAGAAATCATCAGAGCAGTCGCACCAGTTTCACTGTGCCTATAATCAACTGAGAAGTAAAGAAAAAAAAATCCAGCAAACCCAAGAGAAATGTTATTTTTTCATCTAAATATAGTACAAATATTGCTTTCAAATTCCAGCCCAAAGAGAATTTGTTTCCTCACTTTATCTCTGAAGTTAGTTCATATGAATTCTACACTGTTTTAGAAACACACTTCTGTCAATACTTCAAAACAACAACTAACTAAACAACCCATTATTTCTGCTAGCCCTATCATTTTTTCAGTCGGCATCAGAATGCAAAGGTAACACCATTTGAAACTGGAGATAAAAGTAGCCATAAAAATCTAAGTAAATTTGAGGTTGCTTTTTTTTATGTAATAACACATGAAACTTACCACTGACATTTTCAGTTAAAATAAGATTTAACAGCTGAGCAAACAAATCAATATCTTTATGCAACCAGATGTCAGAAAGACAGGAATCCATTTCTTTTACTATCCACGGTTCAAGGCAATTCACATCTTTTTCAGTCTGAAGATAAAAAACAATATTGAAAGCTTAATCTCTTCCAAGAGTTGTCTTTATTCTTATACATTACCCACAAAGAATTGGAATGGTTATTTTTCCCAGCAGCAACAGAAACCCAAATATATCAGTGTAGATATACCTAACTCAGGTATCAGTTAATGCATTGATTTTGTCATATGCAAGTACGAACACAATGGCAGTCGAGCCATTTGATCTGA